GAGAGAGAGATTCTTCTTTGTCATCTTGTCAGGACGGAGGAGTTTGGGAGAGCGAGAAAGGCAGGTTGTGCTTTTATATCTTGACGAACGGAGGAGTTTCAAATTGGCTGACCGGACTGTGGACGGTCCTGATGAACGTGAGAAGTTGCACGAGCAGCCATAGCTAGCCTGGCTTCGGAGTTGAGGCTAGCTGCGGTTTGGAGTTGAGGCTAGCTGCGGCTCCGCTCCGGGGATATATCCTTGTCAGAAGCCGGGTCTCGAAAATCTTCAAAAAAGTGCTACCTGCGTGAACGTGGTAGAGGAGGAGGGTGATTCACAGCACGGCTGAGGGGGGTGTGGTTCAGGACTGGTCCGAAGCTTTGACTACTTGTTGACGTCACCGGAAAGTGGAAGATGTCGGTGTCGGAGCAGGCGCTCCAGAAGGCGCAGGAGATATCGCGACAGGCGGCAGATGTGGCGGCGAAGGGTCAGATGGTGGTCCCACAGCAGGCGAAGACCCTGTTCCAACGCTTGAAAAGCATGGGTTACAAGCGATGGGCAATGGTGTTGGTGACAATGGGAGGGGTGGTTGCCGCGCTGGCGACGCCGGTCCTGCTGGTTGTCGGTCTGCCAGCTCTCGTCGTCGTGGGAGGCATCCTCCTTCTCTTCTCTCCACTCATCCTGGTCACCTCACCGCTCTGGATTCCCGTCGTCCTCTTCTTCCTCATTGTCGGTGGAGGTCTGGCGGCGACTGTGGCTGCGATCCTCGGCCTGTGGTGGTTGTACCGGTATTTCAGGGGACCGATGCCCCCAGGCGGCAAGCAGATGTACATGGTCAAGGAGTATGTCAGGGGCGTCGTGCAGCGCACGACGGGAACCATATCCAAGAAGGGCCACCAGATCACTGACGCCATGAAGATCACGACGCCTTCCTCCACGTAAGGTCGCATTCATCATGATGTTCCTTCTACATCTTCGGAATAATGTACCGACCGGTGCATCCCGACTCCACTGCCTCCAGGTGGCATGCAGGTCATCCGGACTCCACTGCCTCCAGGTGGCATGCAGGTCATCCTGACTCCACTGCCTCCAGGTGGCATGCTTCCAGGTGGGAACCAGGTCTTTACGGTGAAGGAGGACGTGAGGGTCGCACTGAAGAATGACGCATGCATCCTTTTTTTGTGTTCCTCATCTTCGTAATGATGTCCTGGTACGTCCGGACGCCACTGTCTCCAGGTGGCGAGGAGGTCTTCATGGTGAAGAGGAGTATGCGAGGGTCGTCATCTAGCACATGATGGCAAGCATAGCCAAGAAGGGGCACGACGTCATGGATCATTTAGGACTCATGAATCATCTTCTTCTTACTCCTTAGAACCATAGCCAATAAGGGCGACGAGCAACGGGTTCATGTATCTTTAGAGATCTCGTGAAACATCCCTTATCTTCCTAATATCTTAGAGGTTAGAATCCATAGCCAAGAAGCGGCGCGAGGCTTATTCTCTGGAAGTAACGCATCATTCTTCATTGATCTTCATCGTTGACATTCAAGAAGGAGCCAAGACGGGGCACTAGCTCATGGAGCAGTTTAGGACTCATCATCGTCTTCTTCTTAGCATTCATCTGAGAATCATAGCCAAGAAGGGCAACGAGCACATGTACTTTTTTCTTGTTTTTGTTTTGGGGGGTGTACCTTTTTAGAACTCATGAATCATCCCCTTTTAGGATTCACAGCCAAGAAGGGGTCGGAGCTCATGGATCTTCTCTCGAAGTAATGCATATTCATCTTCATTTAAAACCTTAAGGAGGGGTTCTGCCTCTATTTAGGACCTCATGATCTTCGTCCATTATCATCTTTCTGCATCTCTTTCCTGTTCATCGTGTGCTTTGTTCATCGTTTGCTTTGTAAGAATATAGTAGGGTCGTGGTAATGCATGGGAGATGTGAAATAACAGTGAGGTTTCCTCTCTAGTGCATGTTTTTTTTTCATGATTTTGTTTTGATCAGTAGGTACCACTAGCGCTCCCGGAGAGGTTCCATCTATTGGTGGGACACTGGGGAGTTTCACCTGCTGGAAAAAGGGTCCAGCGTCCCATATACAGAGGGAATCAGGAAGAGTAAAGTGGGAAAGAGACATACTAATCACTGGGTGAGTAGTCGAAGAATGACAGTAGTGGGCAACATGTTGCGATCTGAGGTGCAAGCGAAAGAACTCCGTCAAATATCACTTCATCCCTACTACTGCCCTGACAGGGTTAGACTTTCGCAGTCTGCAGGGGTCCACGTAAATCTTCTCCCCTGGTCTGCTCTGTTAAAGCATTGGGTCTGGTTCCACTACTCTGTGCTCTAGGTTTCTTGGGACAAGATTAAAGTAGGGGGACCTGTTGCTAGCTGGAGATGTGGGGGGTTCAGCCACTAGGCACGGAAGGGTTAGGGTGAGGGTCCCCTCAGGACAGCTCGCCCGTGGAATGGGAAAGGTTGATGAGAGTGAGATTTAGTACAATCTACGGTTGATGTCTATCTGGACCCGGACCCTACAGACTGCTTGAATTAGGAACAGTTGATGAGAGGAAGAGGACATTCTATGGCTGATTGTAGGGCTCTTGTGTCGGTGGGGCTCTCTACAGGATTGATTGGGTTGCCTTCTGCCTACTATGTTCGGTTCACTATCAACAAAGTTAACTAGTAATGATGACAACAGTGTGAACAGCAAACAATCTAACGACAAAAAACAGTACACAACGATAGGAGTGCTAAAGAGGGCCACCTATGGGACTTAGTGAAACGTCTGTACCTAGCACCTGAAGTACCTGGGCGACAAGACTTGCCCAAATATGCTTCGATGGGGGCTGACAGGGGTGTGTGCCACTGTGTGGGACTCAACTTAGCCCTGGTACCTACAAGCATTGTTCGGTCAGGTCATGACAAGATTTGCCCAAATATGCTTCGACTGGGGCCAAGTGGGGTGTGTGCCACTGTGTGGGACTCAGCTTAGCCCTGCTACCTACAAGCACTGTTCGGTCAGGTCATACCCAGGCTGGAGGGTGATGATCCCGAGTGGTAGACACTGAGGTTGGATAGTGTGAGTAGGAGTGTGCTGGGCGGAATTACGAAAGAGGGAGGTTGGGAGAGAGTTTCATAGGATTAGGGGGGCAGACTGCCGAAGATGACTCTCATATGTCTACAATATAACATCTACAACAACCTGGGCTCTTTATGAAAAACTAAACAAATAATATATTAATAGTAAAAATACAGATATTTTTGGAAAGTACTGGAAGACCCAGTAGCTGTAATAGGTTCTGAATATCTGAGACACAGGACCCCATACCCTGCCGAGCTTCCGGGCTACTTCCCTTAGTGCCAAAAGAAATTGGTTGCTCGGATGCCCTGCTTCCTATAGTTCTCTGTGAAGTGTACTAAGGTTAGAGAGTGTAAAGTCTATACTGGTATTCGCATGTATCTGCTATACTGTTTGCTCCCTTAGTCCATATGACTGATAGTGTTGAGTAATTGTGTATCAGATTCTGGGTTTTTCAGGTTCATCCCAAATACTCTCGGCATTGAATTTCTTGAATTTGTGCATCATGACGGTATCAACAGGTTTCTCAACACAACAAAAATTGTTTCCAGAAAATTGACAATGTTTGTGTCACAATCCGCATTTGAGTTTCACATCTTCGTTGTAGCATTGTTTTATTTTATCCATTACTTTTGACTTTTTTCTTCTTATCCTGCCTGAAAAAGCCAATTAGAAGCAAAATTTAATCATCAACATAACATTTTGCAAACAAACATTTTGCATCATTTACATGCACACAAGGCAAGCGAGGTACTAGGCAAGTGAGCGGTGGGCTCGCTTGCCCTCCCATAGGGTTGCCCTTATTTTGCTCGAGGATATTCCCGCATGCTTTGAAAAAAACGTTCCTTAACGTTCCTGAGTATGAAATCCACCAATTGTTCAAGGTCACCCAGAATTTCCCTTTTTCCTTGATCTTGGAAAAACACCACTGAAAGGCGTTTCTTACTTTGTCATGCGGTATTTTCGAGAAAATCTCTTTTATGTCATATAGGTGAGGGTCACAGCATTTAGATGTTCACTTCTATTTTTTTGTTGACGATCTCAGAGTCTATGTTTGGTTTTAAGTCGATCAAGTTGAAATGTCCCGATTTTCTTCTTAATAAGCAAGTTGAGTGTTTAACCAAAGTTGTGCAGGGGAATTCTCCATGATTTTGGTAGGAGGGGCATAATATATACGTCTCCTTTTTTTTGAGATCTTTGTCCTTGCTCATGATGATTATGCGTTTTGCAAGTCACTTATGTTATCCCACCTGGCAATCCTGTGTAGTTTCTTGTCTTGAAAATTGGCATGAATTTTGTTCAACTTTATGATCGTGCTTTCAGATGTGTTAACAGTTTCAAAAAATGGGTTCTTGTTAAGTAGTCTTCTATTCCATCGAGGTATAACTTTGAACTAATGAGTGTCAGTGTTGCCGATTACGTTCCATGGGAGAACAGACCAAGCAATTCAGAGCTTCCTTTATGCCAGCAACATATTCACTCGATACTGCTCCATTTGCTCCATTTGCTCCATTTGGAATTGTGGGCCCGTCCCGTGCATGTTGCACATTCCTTTCCATCAGCAATTCAACACTCAGAGCCATGCGTGCATTGGGACGTTGGAGCGGATTCCAGCAGGCATTGTTCCCCACGGATAGATTGGATCATTGGAACCTTCACAGAAAGGGCTCACAGAGGGGCTGCTCCTACCAACCCCTGAAGCGGGCACGCTGATGGAAGAAAGAGAAGTGGACCATCGGAGCCTTCACCAAAGGGCTCACTTTAGAGGGGTGCTCCTGGGCACCCTGACAGACGAAAGAGAATTTGGCAGTTGATTCTTTTTTGAAATTACGGCGCACACGAATGTTTTGAAACGCTGAAGGCCAAAAAAACTCGTGCAGGCAAGAAACCACGCACCAGCGAGAATTGACCTATTTCCGTCCAAGAGTATCCGTTGGGTATTCTTTTTTTTGTTGTTGTCCCCTCTGACACCATCATGATGGCTGGCCCCTGTAAATATGTCACCCAGCCTGACACCACGGCTGTCGGTACTTCCGTCGCCTTTCCGAACTCGGCGTGGTTTTCTTTGCCGACTCGTGTTTTTTTTGCCCATTGGATACTCAAAGGTGACATGATAGTACTTACCTCTTCTTTTTGGGGGGTTTGAGTCCAGAGGCGCCGACTAGAGGGGGTGATATGGCAGCCTCCCCTAGTGGTTGCCCCTGGGCATCTATCTATTGGCGGGGAACCGCAGCAGATGTTTTGATGCGGCAGTCGCATGAATCATTCAAGTTGATGGAAAGTGGGAAGGGACAAAGAACAGGGAGGTTCTGCCTTTTTTTCAACAACTTGAATGTTATAAAACCTGTCGGTGAATAAGATTACATACAGAATGCAGAAAAAGGACCAGCGGCCTGAGGTTACAAACATATATTATGGCTATGCTAGGTGGATTATTAGTTCTTAGGACAGGGCTCCCATTGGTTAGACCTTGGCCTGACTGGCATTAGCCACTGTCCATGGTAGCTCACACAGGGATACCCTAGGTATGAACCTTTGGGTGGGGGGCATGCTGCGTTCACGAGGGCCTAGTCTTGAGGAATCACCCCTACCTAGTGCCACAAGGCTCGTACGGCAGCGTTTCGACCAGGACTTGTAATCAATCCAAAAATTCCAAGACAAAATAAGAAAGAACTTACTCAACTAGTGTCCTTAGGAATCACCCCTACCTAGTGCAACAAGGCTCGTACGGCAGTGTTTCAACCAGGGCTGGGTCTGTCAACCCAGCACCGGGGACTCTGACCGACATTTGTGTGGGTCATTCACTTGAATCAGATCTAGGTGGATGCTGAGAACGTAGAAGCCTCAGCTGAGTGCTCCAACGGAGGGAGCAGGGGGTTCATCAGGAGAAATGCTGAGACGGGAAAGGCGCCAGAGCATAAAGAAAAAAAGAGAAGAACTTGGGAAAACAAGAAGGGACAGTGCGATGAATGACAGTACCTCGACAAAAAAAAGAAAGGATCACTAAATGTGGCGATGGGGAGGGTATCATCCCACAGAAGGTGACACATCTTGGTAAGCAATTGTCGCCGATGCATCTTGCCACCCTTCCTTTTTTTTTTTTTTTTTAAGCCCAACCCAACCAATTCAATTACCTGTCGAATCTGGACAGGATGGCCTTTCAGGCCTTTTTTTTATTGTCATTATAGTATTTCGGGGAACCCAGTAGGCCGGTAGCATCTGGACCGAGCTTCTTCAATGGGCCATTCACTGTACCTCCCCTCCGGTCCCCTCCCGCTATGAACGGCAGCAGTCTCTGCTCGATGCCACTTGGGGGGTACCAACGGCCTATTTCTACGGTGCCAAGCTTACCCAGGAAGGTACCTGAGGCCAATGGGGATTGAACCCAAGACCACCTGAATGCCACTTGCGCGCCTTACCAACTGAGCTAGGCCGCTGGATATCTTGCCACCTTCTGTGAACATGTATTCCTTTCTTTTTGGACATGCAAGTTCTTTTGGGAAATTTTGGTGCTTTGTATTACTCCGAAAATGGACTTTGAGGCCAGGGAACCTCACAATTCTACCTGGAAATACTGGAGCCACTACCCAGCTCCGGCTGTAGCTGGAAACCGGGTCCAGCGTCCCATTACCATTTTCTACCAAAGGGCTTTCCAACAGGAGGTACTTGAAGTACCAGAGCTAAATTAAATTCCAAGCTCTCTAAAGGGGTTAAAACTTTAAAGTGGCTAAATCCAAACACTATTCCCTGTCTCAAAATAGATAGACTCAACCAAATCCAAACACTATTCCCTGATAAATGGGCTGCTCAATCTAGTATGTGTCTGGATAACCACTGTCGAAACCGGAAAAACACTAGTGCGTCTTTCCCAAAAAGTGGCCAGATGCATCTGTTGCTATTCGCAGGAAAGGATGCATCTTGCCACTTTCTGTTAGTGCGTCTTTCCCTAAAAGTGGCCAGATGCATCTGTTGCTATTCGCAGGAAAGGATGCATCTTGCCACTTTCTGTGGGACCATGCATTTGAACGTTTTTCGTTTTGACAGTGGTGTGGCGAGGCCCTATATGTCTGGAATAACCACTGAGAAATCACCAGCACCCAAGCGACTAGCTCAGTGGGTACACCACTGTAACTGTTGAAATACAGACCCGTGTTCGAACCTAGATGACAGAACTCAAATATTTCTGAATTGCCTGGGGCCGGTCAGCTCAATGAGGATATCTCAAGACCGTCGCCTCCTTCTTTATAAAATTAAAAAAAAAAAATCACCACCTCGCAGTCCAGTGTTACAGTTGTCAGACTTGTTACGGTAACCTTCTTCCCCTCAATACAATGTAGGGTCATTATAGCCGTATCTAGACTGAAAGATGCCTCAAATACAGCTATAATGACCGTGCGCTGTATTCGGTGGAAGAAGGTAGCTCTAGCCTAGGAGGACCGTGGAAACTTTGACCAATCGGCCGTAATCGCCAAATTGAATCTGATGGAGGTGTCGACCATTTTCAACATCTGCTGTTGATGGAGGTGTCGATTGAGACACTCTAGTGTTTCTGCACTCTGGGGCCAAGTCCCGCTCACCCGAATTGCCAATTTCTGACCGCAGATTACGAAGATCGACGGTCGGAAATGAAGAATCAGGATAAGTGGGACTTGGCCCCTGGTCTGATCTCACAAACACATACAATTTCAATGTTACGGGACACTGGACCCGTTTTCCAGCAGGTGGCGCTCCCCACCAATAGATGGAGCCTCCCCGGCGGCGCTAGTGGTGTCTGCTCTTACGAGCATCCCTAGCTTCAGCTCGGGCGTTTCATAAATAAAAAAAAAGCCAGTCTGCAGTATTGCGCCACTACATGCTCCTGATAGGTATTAGTGGAATCTATGACCAACATGGGTGTGAGTGCGAACGCGAGTGGGTTGTGTGTGGTGTGTGGGAGAGTGTTGGCCATAGCTACTGCTGCTACTGGATGAGGGGTGGGGGACGATGAGAAAGGGAGGCGCAGCTACTGGCAGGACTCGGTCTTTTTGTTAGCCAGACCCCTACTGGCGGCCCCAACCCTATACCCTAAACATTAGGGGCAAGGGGCAACATGAAATCTCCCCTTCACAGTGAGAGGAAACTATGCTTGCAGGGGTCCCCTCTAGATAACCTTAGGAGTAGGTAGTGAAAGTCAAAAACAGAAGTTGAGAGAAGAATATAGAAAGAAAAAAAGAAAAAAAACTAGAGCCACGTATCCCCAACCCACGTGGAAGTCCAATGCCTCAGGGAGAATCAGTGACAAAATTCACGAGTCAGGCCAATCCACATCGATCTTAGTAAACAAACTCCAATGCTTCGTCCACCATTCCGCGGTTATTTACGTGTGATCCGTAGTGAGCAGGTCATCAGTCCGCCGCGAAACCCCACTGCGAACCCCTCTAAACACATTTTGTTTTTGTTATATAATTGGCAGCCGAGGCTGGGGACCTCACAAACATCCCTGTTGAAAGGGTACTGGGAGCACTACGTAGCTAATCTTACAGGGGCAAGTCTGGGTTGGCTGATGGCCAGGCCAAGTCCTACTGCAGCTCAAGGGCTGCTGCCTAGAATTCAAGGAAAGAAAACAGAAATAAATTTTTATCTACCTATACTAAGCTCGAGTACGTTGCGTACGTCGTTTCGATTCTCGACCATGATGAATTAATTGATTCATTGTAGGCATATGTGTGGTTTTGTTTTTTGTTAATTAAGTTAATGCAACTGACAGGCTTCGGTAGTGTGACCCGCCTGACCTGGCCCTTTGATATGATAGATATGATAGATATCATATCATATATATCCCTTACGGGATTTGAACCCGTGTCTTCGCCATGAAAAAAACTTGTCCTATAGACGAAAGGGACACATGAATGTGCTTGTAGCTTTTTTTTTTTTTTTTTTTTTTTTTTTTTTTTTGTAGCTCAATTGGATAGAGCACCAAACTATGGATTTGGGATTCGAACCATCGTTCGTGGATTTGCAGTCCAATACGTTACCTTTATGTTACTTAGCCTTTGATTTGATTGATGAAAAAAGAAAGGTGCGAAGCAATGAGCTTTTTTTCAAATTTTAAAAAATCAAATTCGTTAAACAACGAAAGCTAACCTTTATGGGCGTAGGCAGGCCTGTGCATTAAAGGTCTCTCGGGTAAGTCCCACTTGTGGGGGCCTAGTGTTCCTCTCAACTATTTTTGGGTGTAGGCGCAGTGTGGCCGTGAGATGTTCACATCGCACGATGGTTACTTGATACCGAGTGTAACTGCCCACAAGTGGGGCTTAGCCCCACCTGATATGGACCCCCCCCTGCAGAGACAACAAGAACAGCCCCACTGGCTTCAGGTTCATTCTTGCACTACCGACCATTTTTCTTCTTCTTTTTTTTTGGAAGGGAAAACTGTTGAAATGCCCCTAAGAGCTGGGGCATTTTGTCAGATACCTCTGAAGTACAGGGGTACGACGAAATGCCCCAAACTTCTACCTTTGCGCCTGTCCCTACCATGGGCAACTTTGCCATATGCCCTGGGCCGTGGACTGCAGCGGCCAATGATCTACTTTCTGCATCTGCTCCTCTACCGGGCAGGCATCTTTTTCTGCCGGCCCTCTGAATTTCAATTTCGAAAGGGCTGTCTTGACATCCCTGTTCCCTCCCCGTTGCCATCCGCCTTTCCCTCGTCTTGTGTTGCCACACCGCCACTTGCTCACCTCCCTCTACATCCTCCTGACATGTTTCCTCCTCCACTTGCTCGTCTTCCTCTACATCCACCCCCTCACACGTTCACTCCTCCTCCTATGCTACAACCTCCCCACCTCCATCGGTACACTTTCCCACCATTTTCCATCCGGATCTCCATCGTCTTCCCTGCTCCTCCTCTACTTCCAGCCTCCCACCTCCAGCGCTACACATTTCCCGTCATTTTTGCCATTTCCTCCTGATGGAAAAAGATGGGAAAGTGTAGCGATGGAGGTGGGAAGGTGAGAGTAGAGGAGGTCGCCCCTCCTCATCTACTTACACCTTCCCGCCTCCACCTCTACACATTTCCCAATTAGTTTCCACCATCTGTAGCGATGGAACCCATGGAGATGGATGCCGTTTCTGCCTGCTTGCTGTATGGACCTTTTTTTTTGTTCATTCTTTTTGGGGGAAACTACGCAGACATTGAACATTGATCCGTCATATATATGTGTGTGTCATCATCCCATTGTGAATTATCATGCATGATGCGAGTCGCCGCCATCATCCATCAGATTTCATCAACATCACGGGAATCGTCATCGTCATTGTCATCATGGTACTCATGGTCGTCGTTCTCGTCGTCATCGTCATCATCATCATCATCATCATCATCATCATCATCATCATCATCATCATCATCATCATCATCATCATCGTCGTCGTCGTCGTCGTCATCATAATCATCAACACCATCATCTTCATCTTCATCCAGGAGCGCTTTAAAATATACGACGATCGTCATCAACGACATCCTCATCGTTGTCATCATCATTGCAATCATCATTATATTCCATCACAGAATAAAATAAGTGAGAGAGATGAAAATGATATATCACGCGGTTTTCTGCCATTTTTTCTTCCTTTCACCTGCTCGAGGCTTCTTTGATGAGGTGCATGTGTGTCAGTGCAGTGGCTGCTGTTTAACAGTCTCCAACTATTTGGGTGTCAAGTTGATCTACCCATGAGCATGGAACTCTTGTCTGCAGACCTGCTTTTTTTTTTTTTTAATATGTTACACACCTACAGTTTTACTTCTTGAGTAACCACGGCTGCGTTTTCCAGGCAGCATAGAGAATTTCAAAATGAGCATTATGGTTTTGGATTAATAGGATTCTGTTGTTGTTCTGGGTGTTATGCCGCTAACCCTTCCGCAATGATGAGCATGGAGCCGACATCCACAAAATGGGGCCCAGTGGAGATGTGGTTGCACAAGACAATGACGGCTGTTGAAGATCACCTTTGAAATGTTCGAAGGCTTGATCTGTCCTTCGACAAGTCATGAGGCAAACACACCTCACTCGAGGTGGGACAAATGGATAGTGGAGAACTAGGTGGGCAGGATGCACATAGGATAAGCAAGCAACACCATCAATTGTGGTGGTTCTTCATTTTTATGTTGTCGGAGGCCCTGGTTTCAATCAAGAGTGCCTATCGGCTCACAATTTGTGCAGTTGGGACGCGGTCACATAGACAAGTCTCATCAATGCACTCGACCGCGGAAAGCATTAAATGCACACCCGAAACCCCGAGACGGATCGTACACATCCAAGACAGGGAAAAAACGAAAGAAGAAAGACAAAAAAGAAAAATATTTCTTTCCGTGTGTATGTTCAGTAATCTATGTTCGACACGACAATCAATCTGGGGAAGCAATGCTCGACTGTCCGCATTGGTTGAAGGCTGAATGGGATTGTGATGGAAATTAATGGAAAACGCGACGACACAGGACACCGCAATCATAGAAGATAACAATCCGGATAGCAAAAAGAGCGGAGCCACAAGTCAACATCTACACAACCACGAAAGAGGAATCTACAAATGGAGGACACATTTTCATACATTGCTCATGTGTGCTCGAAGCCAGTTACTATTTTATACTTGAACGATCGATTCACATTTCCTTACACCCTGTATTATCGAGTGTATGACAAAACACTCTCCACAACAAACCATACACGCGCATTGCTTGTGTGTGTGATACATACATACATGTGTGTGTGTGTGTGTGTGTGTGTGTGTGTGTGTGTGTGTGTGTGTGTGTGTGTGTGTGTGTGTGTGTGTGTGTGTGTGAGAGAGAGACAGAGAGACGATGATGCGACAAAAAAAATATTTCTTCCTTATTCATGATCTACGCAAAACCTCCGAAAATGAACAAGTCGTGGCAATGGACCAGGAGGCGCCTTTGTTTCTTTTTGTTGCACTAAACTTCTCACGTTCACAACATGCTCGTTGCGCGTCGCAACTCTAAAGTTATTATTGTCACATCATGCTCAATGTGGAAATCAACAAAAGTTATGGCAGTGGGCGACACAAAAGTCCTCACAGTCAGAGCATGCTCCATCTGCCCCTGCATGCAAAAGGATCGATAACAAAGATACATAAAATAAAATTTCGACGCGGACACGTGTTTGATATCACGTAATAACACAATGCGGACTATTGGCACCAATCAACCGCACCCCGACATCACAGCTCTAAATTTCTCACAGTCACAACATGCTCAATGTGGAAATTGACGAAAGTTATGGCAGCGGGCTACACTAAAGTTCTCACAGGCATAACATACTCGGCCCGCATCCGAACTACGAAAACTAATCAAGCGCACCCCGACTAACTGTGTGATCATGGCCACCTACAACAAGACCCCTAGTGCAGCGGGCTGTCATCCCCAGTTACACAGATGCTCATATGTTCATCACTCAAGATGCTGATGTGATCGTCCTCTTCATCAGTGGACGTCGATACATCTCCCTCAAGAATTTCATCATACACTATCACGCCCCCCGCTGCATTCTCGTCTTGTTTTTGCACTTCGGGCTCTCCACAACCTGGCAAATTACCATCCTTTTCTCCATCAACTTCACGCAGGCGACCAGATAGTTTGTCAAACTTTCTTTGCAACATATCCTCGAGAAAACGACTCTCGCAATAAGCGAGCTTCACGGCCACCCTCCGAGTTCTGGCCTCATCTCTCTCCTCCAGTTCCCCGTGCGGGCGTTGTTCTAAATCCATTGTTCTCCTTGCCATATATTCAAAACAAGCCGCAACATCTTCCCTCACACGCAGCAGTTGGCGTTCCGCCTTCCATGACCACACCTAACTGGAGTCGAGGTTTGTTTTAGACGGTTGCTCCATACCACACCACTGTCGGCCAGAGTCACAAGCAGCTCATCTCCTTTGCGGACGAGATGCTTGTGCAGTGCATGCAACTCCTGGAAACTACCATTTCGTCAAAATGGACATTTTTATTTTTTGAACGAAATTGAAACTGAGTTTTTTCAATTTTTTTGATCGAAAACTCGTCTAAATTTGTTGCTCCTGAGAGTCCCGCGTTTTTAAAATACTGGACCCCCTGGATGTATCAGGACTAAGCTTGAAACCAGATACATCCAGGGGGGACTGCCTGGATGTATCTGGTCTCATGTTAGGTCCAGATACATACAGGGGGTCCAGCGTTTTAAAAACGCCGGACCCTGAGGAACAACAAATTTAGACGAGTTTTCGGCCAAAAAAGGTTGAAAAAACTAAGTTTCAATTTCGTTAAATGTCCATTTTAACGAAATGGCTCTTTGGATACTTCTATCAATACTTACCGCGATGTCATCAACGACGACAAATTGCATGTTCTGGAGGCCATCGCTGAAAAACATGTCTCCTCGCACGCTGGTCTCGCATTTATGGTTGCTCTCTCTCTCTCTCTCTCTCTCTCTCTCTCTCTCTCTCTCTCTCTCTCTCTCTCTCTCTCTCTCT